AGCCCTTTTCAGTTGATACCTGTCTGCCCAGACCAGTATTCGTAAGGTACACAGGACGTGAGAGACGTTTTTCGCCAATTGAAGGCTGTTTTTTAAACATGCAGAGAAAACTAGTACTTTCAGTTTTACCATTTGACATAGATGGAAATGGACACGGAAACTTAACCCCAGAATATGAAGGGCTATTCTTTATTGTGGACAAGGCATTTTCTTGAATGATGTGAACTTTTGTAGCATACTAACAGACAGAAAAAACAGATTTTCTGTCATCTGCCACCCAGCTCTCAATACATCTCTGAGATCTTCCATTGACCCAATTTCATCCGTAGACAGACCCTCTATTTTTGCTGCCACTGGCCACAGACAAAGCAAAAGAAGAGCCAGATTCACCAGGAAGCAGAACCAGCAGCAAACAAAACAAGGCCAGAGTTAAGAAGAGAAAACAGAGATTGAAAGTAATGTTCTGTTGTCTCTTGATATTAAATCCAGGAGCCAGAAAAAGGCATCACTGGGCTCAGAGCATTCATGGGGCGCCCTGCCCAGAGGTCCAGCAGATATCCACCTGGGCACTTTTACAGGATCTCTGACATTCTTGAAACATAATCACCAAATTTAAAACAGTTGTCAGAAAAATATACAGGAAATGTCAGAATTTTAACTCACTAGTGAGCAAACCAACAGAGTGTCATACTGGTTCCTCAGATGATGTGCATATAAACACAGATATATAGTCATTGCGGAAGAAAAAGAGAATGCTGGGACGTTATCCAGTTTGATTCCAACTGGATAATGTTCTCTAGCTCAATAAAACCCCATCCTTTGGAGTTATCCTCACTACAAAGTAGTGATCATTTGCTCCTTATAAGTTCTTTTCAAGTTAACGTCTTTTTTTGTTGTAGTTCAGTCGCCTAGTCATGTCCGACTCTTTGCAATCCCACTTTGTAACATTTTTACAGAGTCGTAAAATTTTTGGACTGTAATTATTATAAGAGTAAATAATAAGTCAATAAATATTCCATTCCCCCAGAGAGTCAGATACCTTTAGGTCCTTGGGGTGCTTATTAGATAATCCTTAAATATGGCATTAACAGGTGAAACAGTTTTTTTTTTTCCTAATCTCATTTCCAAGTTTAGATTTTTTTTTTTCTTTACTGGAAGGATGCAGGTATTACTCTGAGCAACTGGGTAATTGGCACGCCCTTATTGTATTGTGCAAGATTAGAGAAGACAGTTTTTTCATTGGGTTGAGCACATTTTTAAGAGCCTTATCAGACAAACCCAAGCAGTTCACAAGTAAGGTACATAAATGTAGAGTCAAGGGCTGTGATGAGGTGGAGAAAACCCGTGAAAATTGGCAGAACATAGAAGGAAGTAAAACTGGGAACCAGCGGAGACACCTAGAGAGTCGGGTGGCTGAAGTTATGGAGGTGTGGGGACCGGGGGTCGAGAACTCCAGGTTTAGTGATGAAAGAAAATGAAAGTCTTGCCAGGAGGCACAAGGTGGGAAAACCTATAAGAATAGAGTGTCTCCGGATCAACAGAATCAAATGCTTTGTCGAATACACGATGTATGAAGATGTCAAAAGGATGAGGAGTGAAGCATAGTAGGATTTTGCCATGCGGGGTCATTGTTTGACTTTGATGAGAGAAAAAGGCCATATGGATGAAGTGCTGGTGTCGGAGCCTGGTTTTGCTTGGTTTAGGAGAGAATAGGGAGAGAGGATGTACAGCCCAGAGGTTTCAGCACAAGGTCAGTAACTATAGGAGAGTCTTCCAAAGGGGGAAGGAGGATGTTTGTTTGTTTGATCTTTAAAGATGGGTTGTGTCAGCCTGTTTGTATAGTGAGAACTCACTGATTCAGCTTCAGTTTAGGGGCTTCCCAGCTGGGTAAAGAATCCATCTACCAAAAAACAGGAGATAACCTACATTTTCTAATAAAATAATTATGGTTAAAAAAAAAAAAAGAATCCACCAACTAATACAGCAGACACAGGAGACATGGGCTGGGTTTGATCCCTGGGTTGAGAAGATCCCCTGCAGGAGGAAATGGCAACCGTCTCCGGTATTCTTGCCTGGAAAATTCTGTTGACAGAGGAGCTTGGTGGGCAACAGTTCATGGAATTGCAAGGAGTTGGACACAGATGAGCAAAGGACCAAACTTCACTTTACTCAGCAATGGGAGGAATGCTGCCAGTGTTTGGTGTGTGCTGATTTTAAGTATCCAAGTCTTAATGTGACCGGTACAAAATATAAAATGCAGGGGTGGGAGACAGCAGTCAGTGCTCGACAGAGACCCCCAAAAAGCTTTAAAAGGCAAAAGGCCTTCCAGGGCATCTTGAAGGACTCAGGCACCTCTAAAGGACAGGAATCAATTTTGGGATGATGGAAGCAGAATAAAGGAGAAACAGGCAAACAGAGGTAAATCTGTGCTAAGACTCTGACCTTCCCATTGGTTTAATTGATCTGGCTGATTAGACCCAACTCCAAACCTCTCCCTTCAGTTAGCTAACAGAATTGAAAATGCCCTAACATGTTCCATTTGAATATATGATGCTCTAAATTCTTTAGGAAACTATTCAGATTGCGTAATAATGATTTTCTAAACAAAATATTTTATTTTTTGAGGAAAAAAGAAAAGTGTCTTACTTATTCATAGACTTACTTTTAACATAACTTCTTAAATCACCCCCCACCAAAAAATGGTAATTGTTTACTGTACAGATTTACCTGATTTTTTTTTCAGAATTTTTATTTGTTGACATTGTAGAACATTTCATTGCTGTAATTAAATATCCATGAAAAATTTGTGAATCTTCCTCGTTCATTGGATACATTTTCATAATAGAGCTGTTATAGAAAACACCTTCCTGTTCTTTCAAACTTCTCTATAACCTAAATAACACCATCTAAAATTTAGCAATAGTATTTTTGTGCAGTGATTTTTAAAATACAGATTGAGAGTTGTGATATAATTCTGTTTTCATGACAATCATGTGGAGAAAAAAGATGTGTGTTAGTTTATATGTACTTTACAATAAAGGTAAAAATAAAATCCCTAGAAAAGAGTTTCAGTAACCACTGTGGGGAGTGTGCTGAGGAGACTGATGAGAGATGAAACACTATGGATTTCCAGTCGCAGGTGTTTGATTGAAGATGGATCTTACAATGGTGAAATTGACCACATCCTGTCATTTCTGTATATCCTTCAGCAGAATCGTGTGAATAAAATAGTAGAGAAACCAGACACTGAGAGACGACTTGAGCAGTATCACAGAGTCAGGAAATGCATTCAAATAAATTGGCGAGGACATGAAATAAATCGGCCATAATATTTACCTGAAAAGGAAGTCCACTAGAGTTGGGTATATAAACCTCACAGAAATCAGTGTTAAATTGATCATGTGTAAAACTGTCTTCTTAATGTTTGGAAAAAGAGACTGCATAAAATGCATAGCGGAATTGCCGGGTTTGCAAATCACTTTAAAGAACACATGGCTTCATGAAAAGGTGATTAGAGCAAAGGGAGACAGTGTGAATACCTGAACACTGCCAAGTGAATGTCGACATGGACTGATGCGAGAAACACAGCCAGGGTTTAACATTCCAGGTTATTCTGGTCAGATCAGGTCTGTTTCCGTTCACCGTCTCTGAAGGGATCCTGAGGTCCAGACAGTCCTCTGTTTTCCTTGCCGTCTGAGCCCGCATACCAGTTTTCCCTTCCGCTGAAACGCTCATTGTGTGTGTAACCACAGACATGTTACGTGATCACCAAGGCTTTCTGTTTTATTGTTTCTCATCATATTAGGGTCTATTCTGACTTGTATAAGAAGTGTCATCACTTAAGCTATATTCAATGATACATTTAGTATTTCCAGACAAGAAATAGAAAATCCAGATGGTGGTAAAGGTCATGGGAGCCAGTTTTTGCAGATATTTTGAGGGCACATAAAATAAGAGGGCTGTTTCAAAGATATAAAACAGGCGTTTTTTTGGGCCAAAAAAGGGACAGTCTATGTCAGTAACATAAATGCATACACAGCACGATTAAGATAGAAAGAATCCTACCCCCTGAAGACCTGTGCCCTGCTTCCGACTCCAGTTTACAGACACACCTATGCTTGGACAGGTAGAGAGGTATGCCTATTAACTTTCTATGGTGCTGAAATTCTGAGCAGAAATTTATTCATTTGGGAAAGACGTCCAGTGATTTAGTCAGATACACTGAGGCAAGCTCAGGACACAGACAAGTTTTGCAGAAAGGAATGAAAACGGGAACATCTGGATCCAGAACCTGTGGGTTTGAAGAGTCCAGAGATGAAAATGAGAGGAAACTTGTGTGGAGGAGATGGACCAGGAGGGGCTAAGTGTGGAGGAGATGGACCAGGAGGAGCTAAGTGTGGAGGAGATGGACCTGGAGGGGCTAAGATGGACCAGCAGGGGAGAGGCTGAGAGCTTTGCCAGATTAACAGATTAACAGTCTTTCCTGGGTTCCCTAAGCCTCACAGAATAAAAGATGTGCCTATGAGTTGGAATCCCAAAGAGAAACCAGCACAAACGCTGTTTTCATTTTTTTTAAACCTTGTCGTGTGGCAAATTCTGAGTATCCATTTTTAACAATATTTTTCACTCAGAACTGTGTATGAACTTTTCTCAGTGACTGAAATATTTTGGCTTTTCCCTGAAAGTAACAGAGGAACTGTTGACAAAACTGATCAGTTAGGTTTACTTCCCCATCGCTAGCATCTGTTGCATTTCCTCTTCCTCTCTTCCAGGAGTTGATAGATGACTCTGTGTTGACATGCTTGTTCAGGCTACATCCGGTAAACATTTGACGGTGCTGATGTGATCTGAAGAGCATCCATAGCTGTAGGACTGCTACTCAGCTGGCTTTTCACTCTAGAGTTTTGCCTGGATTATTTCAAAATGAATGAGATTTAGAGTTTCAGTTATGCTGACCTGTAATTTATGGATGCATATATGTTTTTACTTTGTAAATATAGTTCATTTACCCCTAAAATGCAAGGCAGACGGATGGGGACTTCCGGAAGAGCCATCACCAAGAGCACAAGCATGAGCGGGGAGATGTACACACTGGAGCATAATGATGGCAGCCAGTCGGACACAGCTGTGGGCACCGTCGGAGCAGGTGGGAAGAAGAGGAGGTCCAGCCTGAGTGCCAAAGTGGTTGCCATAGTGTCTCGAAGGAGCAGAAGCACGTCCCAGCTGAGCCAAACAGGTGAGTGACATGAACTCAGACATCTCAAGTTCTTACTGGAGAGATGGAGTCGATCGTCATGCTGTCTCGTGATGGGCTTTACAGTGTATCGATTCTTCTTTGCGAAGAATGTTTATTTCTGTTTCTGGAAACCTGCTCCACGTGTGAGTTTATTCTTCTTTTCTGTACAGCTGTCTAACAGGCTATCATTTGTCAACCCTAAAGTGGTCAGATGTTTTCATTCAAATGAAAAAAAAAATTAAGCCATATTTACAAATATGCAAGGAAATGCAAAGAACTATTAAAGAACCAAATTGATTGAAATGCAAGAAAAGCAACAGGATTCTCCTTTTCAAAATGTTCCTTAATGCAATTACTTCTAATTTAGACTAACTCTATATTGTTATAGAAAAGAAGGTCAGTTGTGCAACTTGAAAAAGTGTGTGAATGCAATAATTGGACTGTGATTGCTGTATTTTCAATGCAAGTAAAAATCTAGTGGTTATTTTTACTTTAGAAAAAAATGGGTCAGTGTATTCATGCAAAGAATAATGTTTTAATACAAATTTGAGTTTCAAACATTTCCTACTCCTTATAAATCTTAAAAGCTTTATGTCCACAAGGTATATAGAAGAAAGCAAACACAGAAGGGAGGATGGTTATTTATGTATTCTAAAATATAAAAAAAAAACTGCCTGAAATTATATAACATTTGATCTTATACATTAGATAATTCATTACTAGGCTGAGTACTACAGAAAACCGAAGGTAAGTGAAATATGCAACTGATACCAATTGTCAGCACTTGTTTCTCCTGCCATAATCTTTGTTCCATTTTTGTTCCTTAAGAGTGAAAGTCTTATTGCAAAATTTACTCATGCTAAAAGTAATTTGCTTATGCTAAAACACTTTCATGAAATGCTTTTTTTATAGTTAACTTGGCATCCTGGAAACTACGTGTTTTATATTATGCATTTTACTGGACAAAGTGACGAATAAATTAGAAATTGGAATTTTTGAGCCATTCAGAAATTGAACTAGCGCACATAGCTGTTTATCAGAGCAGAGGTTTGTCTCTCTGAAAATCATAGGGTTAGAAAGGACCTATGTTAACCGGGGTCTAGGAGCTGCCTCTCTGCCATCCCAGGGGGTTGGGCTGTTCATTTTGAAGGAAAATCGTGTGTCTTCCTTACTCCTACTCCTTACTCCTTAGGAGTAGGAGGTGTTTTTTCGTTTCTTTTGCTTCTTTTATTTTTGACCCTGGTGCTTATTGGTTTGTAGGATTAATGTAATAAATGATCCTTTCCAGTGTGGGGTGTGGATGGACTTTGACCATCAGACTTCACGTCACTTTATCACTTGGATGAAATGGAAATTCTCTTTAATGTCCTTCTAGGGAACCAGTGTTTGCTGCAAGTTCTGGGATAGCTTATCTTCTTTCACGGCTTCCACAGTCTGTCTCTTCTCATTCCCCCACAGTTAGTGTGAGTGGAGTTACCTTTTCTTAGAATAAAACACAGCAATAATTAAACATCAGAATTATACCTGAGGCACTGCTTTGCAGGTAATAAATTCAAATGAGTGCCACTGAAACCCTCAACCCCTTTAGTTTAAATTTTATCCCAATTATGGTCATTGCTGAATTTTGAATATCTACCTCCCCAAAGTTGCGTTCTTAGTAACTTCCACTGAATACCCTGGTTTCAGAGATCAGATTTCAAGGTATAGGGACAAAAAGGATGACAAAGCCAAGATAATGAAATAGTTCTATTCCAATGAACTTTGACTTGCCCTCTGGGGCTCAGTTTACCTGTTTATTGGGTGGGTTTGACTGAAAGTCCACCCCTGAACTTTCCAGGTGTAGGAATTGATGCTTCTTCTTCTGCATCATGATTGTGTCTTACATTTGGTAACATGTTTTCTTGTTCTTCTTCATCCTCCCAAGGTAACAGACCAGTGATAACTACCCTCAGTTATCTCTCCTTGTTTCAGTGGGTGGCCTGGTTCGTCTCCCTGCTGCTTCTTTTACAAGTAATTTTTTCCCCCTTTATCAGTGGTTATATTTTCTCTCTCCTGTGAAGAGTCACCAAAATTCAGAATTCTCATTCTAAGAAATCTTGTTTTTTGTTCCTTCAGCTTCTGTGTGAAAGTCAAAGTCGCTCAGTCATGTCCAGCTCTTTGCAACCCCGTAGACTATACAATCCAGGGGATTCTCCAGGCCAGAATACTGGAGTGGGTAGCCTTTCCCTTCTCCAGGGGATCTTCCCAGCCTAGGGATCGAACCCAGGTCTCTTGCTTTGCAGGCAGATTCTTCCCCAGCTGAGCCACAAGGGAAACTCAAGAATACTGGAATGGGTATCCATTCCAGGCTGGAGAGCCTATCCCCTCTCCAGCAGGTCTTCCCAACCCAGGAATCAAACCAGGGTCTCCTGCATTGTAGGCAGATTCTTTGCCAACTGAGGTATCAAGACTGTATATGATCATAAAATTGATTTTTTCCATATTTGTCCTCCAGAGAATTATTCCTTAATTTTAATTTCTTATAAGAAAGCCCCTTGTATGGCCTACTTTAAATAAGTGGAACATCTCCACAAATCTGAATTTTGAGGCCTTCCTTTCAGTAATGCCACAGTATGTATAGTTACAAACCCTTAGAATAGTTTTCTACTTTTTAAAACATTCCTTTAACTAGTTTTCCCCCAGGTCCATCATTCTAGAGAAAACTATGTGATATTTGTCCAATTTTAAGAAACGTTATTATATTTCATTTAGATGTCTTTAATGTAAAGTGAACCCAATAATTACAGATTGGTGAGGGTTTCGGGGGGCCTTCTAAATATATGCATAATTAAGATGAATTTTTAAAATGTATTTCATTAAAATATAGTTGATTTACAATGCTGTGTTAATTTCTGCTTTACAGCAAAGTGATTCACCTATATATATATTATAATGCGTGTGTGTGTGTTCAGTTGGTCAGTCGTGTCAGTCTTTTTGCAACCCTATGGACTGTAGCCTACCAGGCTCCTCTGTCCATGGAATTGTCTAGGCAAGAATACTGGAGTGGGTTGCCATTTCCTCTCTGAGGCAGATCCTTTACCACTGAGCCACCTGGGAAGCCCAATATTATAATATATATGTATGTGTGTATATATATATATATATATGTGTGTGTGCATGTATGCATATTATTTTTCATATTCTCTTCCATGATGGTTTATCACAAGATATTGAATTTAGTTCCCTGTGCATTGCAGTAGGATCTTACTGTTTATCCATCCTATATGTAACCATTTGCACCTGCTAATCCCGAACTCGCAATCCATCCCTCCGCAAGGCGCCGCCTTCTTGGCAGCCACAAGTCTCTCCTTTATATATGTGAGTCCATTTCTGTTTTGTGAATAAATTCGTTTGTGTTGTATTTTAGAGTCCACATATAAATGAAATCATATGTTAGTTTTCTTTCTCTGTCTTACTTCAGTTAGTATGATAATCTTGAGGTCCAACCATGTTGCTGCAAATAGATTTATTTCATCCTTTTTTGTGGCTGAGTAATATTCCATTGCATATATGTACCACATCTTTATCTGTTTAGGTAAACAGATTGTCTAATGGCGTCAGTTAATCGAAGATTTGGAAGAAGAAGGCAGTGTTATAGAGTGAAACAAGCTGGGTATTCTGTGGAATAGAATGTATTATGTTTAATGCAAATGTCTTCTTATGTTTGTGAAAAAATAAAAGAGTTTAAGGGCTTCTGTGGCAGTGAGTCTCTGGGATCTTCCCCAAGCATCTCTGCCACACAGATGGTGGATACTCAGGGAAACATGAAGCAATCAGAAATAATGTTTAACCAGCTCTTTTTAGAATGGGAGATTTCAAGTGTGTTGTTTTATTTTTTTATTTTTTGTGAATGTCAGTGTGGTACCCATTTATTTTTTTTATTTTTTTCATTTATTTTTATTAGTTGCAGGCTAATTACAATATTGTGTTTTTGTTTTTATAGCCACAGGTTTGCTCAAGGAGTTTATTTGCTTCTTTGTTCAAAATCAAGTAAAATTTATTTGCAAGAAATGAAAAGCATAGTAAATTATATATATATATACACATATTTATGTAGTAAATTATATATGTGATATGTAAGTATATTACATTTACTTTGCACTTATATGTTACTTGCTCTGCACCTCAATATATTTACTGCGCTCTTCAATTATGTATAATTATTTATGTTGAATATTTCAAGTACAAGCAATGTTAATATTTAAAAATCACCTTTAGCACAATATTCATAATAGAGGTAGGAATTTTTAAATATATTTTTTAACTGGGAGAGTGATATAAACAGAAATGTTTCCAAAAATGCTACTGCTAATGAATGGCTTCAAACCATCAGGCACATAACTCAAAACTTGTTCAGTGTGCGACATCTGAATTAGATTGAAAAGGGTATAATAAGTGGAAGGAAAAGGAAACTTTGAGGAAAAGCCCCTGATCCAGGAGTGTTTTGGAACTGAATGGAGCTCTGGTTCGCTCAATGTAGGGCCAGGCCTTAGGATATGAGGGGGGCTTTGGGCCTAATGTAGGTATAGCCTGGCCTTTGTAGCCTGAGGTTTGCCTCACTAAAAATGAAGGCTCTTCATGAAGAGCATCCTTATGTACACCCTGTATTTACCAACACGTGAAGATGATTGTGGTGATAGTTATCATAATAATGATAAGTATTCATATATCTAAATGATTGAAACCAGGATGTTTGCATTTCTAGACCTTTCTCCATGTACCCCTAAGTTATACAGGCACAGCTGTGTGTGTATAACTGCAATCCATGATTGGTGACAAAAACATTGTGATTAGAACTTTTAGCTTTTATGAAGAAGACACCTATAAATGTAAAAGTATTATAAGCTTTATAAGCTAGAAACTACTTAATTTACTTTATCATATTAATGAATATCTGTCTCTCCAGGACTGTACCAGGAACAATATTTCAAAATTTAGAAGCATTATTCCCAGTGGACAAA